TAAAATAAAAAATAATAATCGACGCTAAATCGATGCTATTTAGCGTCGAATTAGCGTCGAACTTGTCGAAAGCGACGACGCTAATTCGACGCTAAATAGCATCGATTTAGCGTCGATATGTTGCAACGAAACACTGTGACGCTAAATCGATGCTATTTTGCGTCGATTTAGCGTCGTCGCGTTGCCTCGAAATGTTTCGACGCTAAATCGATGCTAGTTAGCGTCGAAAAATTAGCGTCGATTTAGCGTCGTAATTTGTTTCGACGCAAAATTAGCGTCGATTTAACGTCGAAAATTAATTAGCATCGAGAGTTTAGCGTCGAAATTATTTTCAACGCTAAAAACTTTTAGCGTCGAATTACGCTGACGCTAAATGTCTGTTTTCTTGTAGTGCATGTTATATGTATATATAACGGGTTAATATATATATATGATAATGAATTGTATACAACAAAACAAGCAATACTTTATTGAAATAGGAGATAAAATATGAAAGATCCGACATTCGACCAAAAACGTTAAATATGTGCACAATCTCTAATTTTAAGATACCACTTTTGCGGAAGAGATACTTAGAAAAATAGGTTGAACGAAATATTAATATTTCAAACCAAAGCGGAAACTGAAAATAAACAAATGATATAGCCGCAAGAGAAGCACGGCAAATCATAAGTACCAAGCTGTACTTTGGTTCATTGTCGCGGATCAAGATCATTGCTGCGGTGAATGCAAGAACCATAGAGATGATTGAGACAAACAATGCAAAAACTCCAGACATTAGCTTTGTTGGTAAGTTGATTCGGAAGTCATCTTCTGCATACCGAGAAGTCAATATCGACAAGAATATCATAATAGCTGACGGGTGATAAGAGGGAAACCCAATCTGATGTAACAAACATATCAAACCAATACTTCTTTCTAAACTGAGGGAAACCCAATTTTTTATCGTCTTTGCTCTCGTTGCCGCCGGGTAGAGTAAAAGCTGCTGCAAAGACCACAGTTGCTATCAGTGTCGATACGAGCATACATGAGTGTCGCCGTTTCTTTCATCCATATCTCCCCATCTTTGCGTAAACTTTCGTGTTGAGTCGTAAATAGTTCATGCGGTATGTCACCTTTCTTGTTTTTGGTTATGATGTATGAAAGAGGAACTGTCCCTTTAGCAGCCTGGGATGTGATTAGAAGGTTTGTAAGGATATATACACCCATAGAAATGAAGAAGAGATTATATTAGAGCCATTGTGGGGTTGTGTTAGCGTACCTCGAACCAAAGGAGCTCGCTTTGCATCTGAAGTGCTGCTACTGATGCAAACTGTACCCGATCTGTAGATGGTAAACACGCCACAAGATGCAACAATGTATTTTGAGATTCGTTTTCCTTATACGGTGCTATGAAATCCTTGATGCCCTTGAGTTCATAAATTATGTTGAAGATTTTTTTATGACGATGTAAAGCAGCAACGTGGAATAAACTTAGACCCTTGTCATTTTCCTTCCATATAAAATCAGGGTGAGAACGAATAAGAATAACAAGAAACTCAAAATTTCCGGATTCCGCAGCATCAAAGATTAGCCTTGAAGGTGAATTCAGTAAATCTGTAAACTTTCCCTCAGGCAATAACTCAACCGATTCCCATAACTCCTCCACCAATTGATGAGCTAAGGTTTGCATCTTTTCTTTATGATAGAATCCCTTATGAACT